CCTGAAAACTTTACAATGAATCAGTTATTGAAACAACATTGAATTGTGATGATCCATCCAAATATAAATTAATTAATCAATTGAGCACTATATACTCCTACCTATTATATTTGGATGGATCATCACAATTCAATGATGTTTCAATGACTGATTCATTGTAAAGTTTCCAGGTTTCGTTGCTTTTTCACATTTTCATTATAAAATTCTGTTTTTCTAATACAACCTTTGTTAAAAATTTGATGTGTAATAATAGTAATACTACATAAGACAAAGAAATAAGAAGAAGTACTGTCATTTGCCATGTCCAGGAATGACAGTTACTCTTAACCTATCATTAAACAGTTGGCCGGCACACGTGGCCGTTGTAAACTTTTTAACTGTCTTTTTCTTATGTGTTAAAGTATAATAATTTATGAAGTTTGGTCTTTTACACCATGCAATTTTTATATATTTTAAATTTTGACTCAATCAATGAGTGGTGCGTAAAATTGTCACCTGTAAGTGAAACATCCACGAAAGACGAACCTCACTAACGTAAGTTTTCTCTCGATTTTTACAACCATTTACTACAACTAATTTCGTGGATGCTTTACTAATAGTCCCACTTTATTTTCAGTTTTTTCCTGATGATGAAAATAAACATTTTCGAAAGCTTGAAACTTAGTTAAAAGAGTACATTTATTTCACTGCTGAATAAATCCCAATAAACCTCAAAGCTCCGTTTTCTAACGTTGTCAGCAAAGACTTCTTTTCCTTTTCTATATATATATATATATATATATATATATATATATATATATATATATATATATATATATATATATATATATATATATATATATGGTAGATCGTAGTATAGTTCAACCCACGGTTTCGAGATGAATTTTTAAAATTTCCCGGCTACTTCCTCAGCTATTACCAACATATATAAAATTTTCTGAACGTCTCGAAAACCAGAGAAAGAACCAAAGGCTGTTTTACGATATTGCCAATTTTCCCAAAGTAACAGGGTATATAGACTGTACCCACATACCAATAAAAAGTTCTGAAGGAAATATGGCCGAGATATATAGAAAAAAGGAAAAGATATTTTTCAATAAACGTCCAAGTAGTGGGTGGACCCAATTTAGAAATTTTCGATGTTGTAGCTAGTTGGCCTGGAAGAGAACATGATTCGATGATCTTCAAAAATAGTTCAGTGAAACACCGTTTCAAGAATGGCAGTTTAACAGGATTTCTTCTTGGAGATAGTGGCTATGCTTGTTTACCGTATTTAATGACGCCTCTTTTAAATCCTGGAATTGAACAAGAAGTAAGGTATAACAGATCTTATATAAGAACGAGAAATACCATTGAGAGATCGTTTGGATTGTGGAAAAAAGATTTTGTTGTTTGAGTCGGGGTTTAAATAATAAATTGGAAAGAGTTCCAGAAATAATTGTGGCATGTGCAGTTCTTCACAATATTGGGATCAAAGTGAATGGTGTAAATGATGAACAAGATAATGTGGAAGAAGAACTAGATGATAATGAACCTCACATGCCGAATCAAGCTCAAAATATTGGACATATTGTACGAAGAAGACTGATTGAACAACATTTTAATTGATTTCAATTTTATGTTACACCTTTTGGCACTCTTTCACTTAGCTGTGTTGAAGTAATTGATAAATATCTGCAATTCTCCCTAAAATTCCAAATTTTCCTGATCAATACTATGCTGCTCAATACTGCAAAATCCCTGTGAAGTACTAAATACCACTCTTAAAAAAAATAGAAAAACACCCAAGAGAGTATTAAAAATTGGTACATGGAATGTTAGGAGTATGTATGATCCAGGCAAAATGCATAATATAATACAAGAAATGCAAAGATGAAATGTCGACATTATAGGGATTAGTGAGGCAAGGTGGCCAAATTCTGGCAGTTTTTCGACAACAAATGGCATGGTATATTACTCCGGAAACAGTAGTACTCAACACAGACACGACGTAGCAGTTTTCGTATCTGAGTCTATGATGCAGTTGGTCATTAATTTTACTCCAGTATCAGATCGGCTCTTATTTCTCCAACTACAAACAAACACAAGTAAACTAAATATCATACAGATCTATGCACCTACTGCAAATAAATCCGAGGACGAAATTGAACAATTCTATGAAGAAATCAATCAAGTATTAAAATCGACGAAACCACGAGACATCACCTTAATTCTAGGTGATTTTAACTCAAAAATTGGTAAAGGAAAAAGTGGCAGAACGAGGTGACAGACTACTTCAATTCTACCAGGAGAATAACATGATTGTATCTAATACATTCTTCAACTTACCAAAGTATACGTAGAAATCACCCCAGGACAATGGCAAAAGAATAATTCGAAACCAGATTGATTTTTTACTGATAAACGAACGATCATTACAAATGTTGACAGTAGCCAGTCTGTTTCGCTAAGATTATTTCGCTTGGAATTTCATCTGGACCGGTTGCTTTCCTATTCTTTGATAGCTTTATAGCTCTTTCCATTTCATCGAGTGTTATGTTTGGACCAGTCGATATATTTTTGATTTGAATTTCTGTTCTATCGTCATCAAACAGCTCCTTAATATATTCTTTCCACCTCTCTAATCTGTCTTGTTCATTGACTATAATATTTCCTTGTTTATCAAGTAAACTACTTGCAGCTGATCTATACGTTCCAGTTATTTCTTTTACCTTTTTGTACATATTAAATGTGTCATTATTTTTCTGCAGTTCTTCTATTTCGAGACATTTGTTGCTGTACCAATTTTCCTTTGCATCCCGAATTCTTCTGATTTCCTTGATTTCCTTATGAATTTTATTGTATTCTTCAGTGTTTTTATTTTTCTGTTTTCGCCTGCTTTCCATTAGTGCCAATATTTCATCAGTCATCCATTTGTGCCATCCAGTTGTTTGCGATTATTAATAGTTTTATACTTTTTAGTTGTTTCTTGCATAATGTTGTTTTTTGACATGATTTCAGTGGTCTTCGATGTTATGTGTGTGACTATTATTTTGAATACAGTCAGTGTTTATTCGGTTAGTCGGCTGTTGGCGTTTTACTATTTTAAGTTTTAGTTTTATGTCACTGATTAATAAGTTATGATCCGAGGGGATATCGGCTCCAGGTAGTGTTTTAGTTATTTTGATTAAATTTCGGTACCTCTCGCTGTTATATAATCGATCTGATTTCTTATGATCTTTTCTTTAGTATCTGCTGGTGACTTCCAAGTATATAAACGACGTTGGGTAGTTTGAAGAATGTATTTGTCAGACAAAGCTTGTTCTCTACGCAGAATTCTACAAAACAGTCTCTGTGATTACGTTGTCCAAGGCCAAAATTCCCTACAATGTTTCCTTGTTTACCTTTTCCGAATCCAGTGTCCAACTTCCAAGAAATTGTCTATTTGTGTGCAACATTTTTCATTTATTTTGCCTACAAGTAGTCTTACCAAGGTAAGACATATTCCTTTTCCCCTTAGACATTTGTTTTTTTAATTTCCCTAGTTTTCTTGCATTTATATGAGACTCCCTTTTAAATAGTGTCCCACAAATAATGATTGTATATGTATTATATATTAACATACAGTCAGAAAAATGAAAGATTACCCATGAACAATCACATCAATCACTTATTTTGTATTTGCTGTCTTTTTCTATAACAAATGTTTTTTATTTAAAGAAAAAGACAGCAAATACAAAATAAGTGATTGATGTGATTGTTCAAGGGTAATCTTTCATTTTTCTGACTGTATGTATTGTTGTGTATTAACATAATATGTATTGTTGTATTTTGATTTAATGTATTGGTAATGAAAGCAAATATTTTGAGATTGAATATTTACATATGAATTTTAATTGTGTAGACAGACAGACAATTTAATAACAGTTTTTTTAGTATTGAAATGATGTAAAGGTTATAACAGTAATATTTAAAACCGTTATTTTTTGCATCTATTTTTAATTGATTTGACAGGCTTTACAGAATAATAAGATTTTGTAATTTTGTTTGTTCAGTAGTTTTGAGTAAATGTGTAGTATTGTTCAATCCCCAATAAAGGGATACCCAATGTGGTAGGTCAAATTATAACAGCTATAAAGTGTCCTTTACAGAATAGCAAAACATCGAAAAAGACAGCACATTGAACATTTGAGTCTGCATTTGATACTGTTTCTAAGGTTTTACTCGTGAGATGGTTTGATAATTCTACTATTATGGTAATAACAGATACCATTACTACCTCTTGTTCAAACAGAACAATACAACCAGAAAGAACACAAAGATATCCTCATATCTCAGCCTAATGTAGTAGCTGAATACAATCTGTTTTTAGGTGGTGTGGATTTGTAAAATAATGTCATTGCTAATTAGTGAATCAGAATAAGGGGGAAGAAATGGTGTAAGGGTAGCTTCTATTTATAACTCTTATTGATAGCACAATCGTAAATGGCTGGAAGATTTAAAATATAGCAAATGATAGTAAAATGTCACAATTACAATTTTGATCACTTCTTGCAGTATCTATAATATAGAAATTTTACCGATGTGTTGGAATTGTGAACACAAAATTGGCTTCTCACTTGTGTTATGGGCGTCTCTCCATAGTTTTCCTGATGGTGTAAGATTTGATAACACTAGTCATTTGATTAGAAGGCAAGATGCAGGAAGGAAATATAGATTATGCAAAAGTTATACTATATATTTATGCAAAAAATGTAAAATGCATCTCCATCCCACATATTTTGAATCATTTCATACAAAAGAAATACTTTGCTATTATTTACACATACTGACATTAATATTAGTTATATTAAATAAATTACCAAATTGGCTCACAAAAAAAAGACAACTTGTTTAAGACAGCTTTGACCATCCAGTAAATTTTAAAGGATGCTCCTCTTCAGATAAAACTTTTGTAATTAATCCATCAGATGATATTGAGATGACAACAAAACAAATAACACAATAATTGCTTGACTTACCTGAGTTATCTTCAAATTCATTCTTCAGATCCTCAAGATATGTGGATGTGGATAACTGACTCTCAATATATCCATTAACAAAACCTTCCTTAACTTCAGCTTTTATTTCCATATCTAATAAATACAAATTAGATCACATTGTTTAGCACTGATTTTATAACTTGTATTACCTGAATTGTCTCCTGGTTCATTCTTCAAATCTCCAAGATTTGTGGATGAGGATAACTGACTCTCTGTACATCTTGGATCGCCTTCAACAAACTCTTCCTTAATTTCAGTGTTTACTTCCATAGCTAATAAATATAACACAAATTGGCAAAAGTATAGAGAAAGTCAAGTATAGATAAATAATGTATATACTATTACTATGGTATATACAGAGAAGTGCCGTTGAAGTTAGCTACAAATCATGATATGATACTATGACAACAAGATATGCTCACTTGCTGTTCTAATTTTAATTGACTTTGCGCACGTCGTAGCGAGACAAAGCCAGGGGACTTTTATGTGTAATATTTTAACGATGCATCATATGGTAACGTTGTTCCATTACTGTAATGAACAACTTCAAAACTTAAACTGTTAACGGTAAGGATACCTCGATGCCATATCTTGCAGTAAGAAGTCATAACTAGTTACTTTCTGTGAAGACGTGTTTTGAAAATTAATAAGTAATTTGTAAAATTAATTAAAGAAATACATGAATCTACGATTTGATTGTGTGTATTACAAACAAAATAAATATTGCTACAAAACATAAAATAAATATAAAAGGCCGGCAAAATGTAAAGAATTTGACCATAAAGGAAAAGCGGGTCAAACTTGAGACTTTATATATATCATTTATACATTTATTTTACAATCTTTGTGACTTTTCTTTTGTGGTATTGTAATTATCTTTAATATTTTGATTTAGAATTCGTATTTTAAAATACATTTTACATCTAAAAAAAGTAATTTTACATCTTCGCTAACATTTACATATTTTGCAGCTTCTTTTAAGTTTTTTAAATAATTTTCTGTTATTTTTAATGTGTCGCCATTATAACTACGAAAAATATTGTTACGAACGTGCATTTAGCGTGGCCCATATAACGGTTGCATCTCGAAACAGCACCTCAGGCTTCCAGAACATTCGGCGATATATCGGGCGCTGTAAAATTCCACCCGTCAAATAACGAATTAGAGGTGGGACTACTCCCGAATATTCTCGAACATAATAATTTGTATATAATATATATATATATATATATATATACATATATACATCCTACCATCAACGGAGCGTCCGTACATTGTCTTTTTACCGTCAATAGAGCGTCCGTATATGGACGCTCTAATTTTTCTTTGCTTAAAGTGCCTAAAATGTCATCCAGAACCAGAAGCCATATATATATATATATATATTATATATATATATATATATATATATATATATATATATATACATATATATATATATACATATATATATATATACATATATATATATATATATATACATATATATATATATATATACATATATATATATATATATATATATATATATATATATATATATATATATATATATAAGTAACGATGATTGAGGTAGTTAGTTGATAAGATAGTACCGAACTGTAAAGTTATAAATATATATATAATATATATATATATATATATATATATATATATATATATATATATATAAGTAACGATGATTGAGGTAGTTAGTTGATAAGATAGTACCGAACTGTAAAGTTATAAATAAGTATATTTATATAAATTCGAACCGCTCGTTTTATTTAAAAACGGTAGTTGGTGTACGGCGTGAGATTTGAATATAAATTCAACAGTGATGTTTGAAAAAGACTTTTGAAAAGTAATGTTCGTCGGGAACATCCGCGTAGTTCGGTAGTGATCGTTGTACGAAAGAACATTTAAAAAGTACGTCTGTGCCTGACCCAAAGATGCTGCTAGTAGAACTTTCAGTAAAACAGTTGCGTGAGCAACTAGAAGAACGTGATGAAGACTGCAGCGGGTCCAAGAAGATCCTCCAAGAACGACCAAAGAATGCCCTTAACAATAATGGAGATGACCCAGAGACATTCCAATTTCAATCAGCAGAAGAAGCAGTTTTAACAAAAATAATTGATGGAAAGTTTGAGAATGTCTCAAAAATGATCGAAGAGAGTTCTAAACAAAATGATAGTAAATTTGAAAATGTGTCACATATGATTGAAGAATCTTCTAAAAAACATGATAATAAATTAGAGAACGTTTCCAAAAGATTCGATGAAACATTCGAAAATGTATCTAGAAGATTCCACGAGACTTCACAAATAATTAAAGAAATATGTATTCAGAACAATGAGAAATTTGAAAAAGTCTCTAAAATATTTGATAAAGTAGAAGAGAAGATCAAACAGTTAGAGAGCATGGTAACCAATACACCAGTTAATACAGATCCGGTAGTGAAAGAAGAATCGCCTAGAGACAAAACGACACATCATATGAGATTCAAATTGCCACCATTTGATGGAAAGTCCTCTTGATCCATATACCTTAGACAATTTGAAGCTATTGCGACAGCCAATCATTGGACAGAACAAGAAAAGGCTGTTTCCTTGACTAATGCTTTACGAGGTGATGCTGCAGATATCCTAAGATCGATTCCTAAGGGTCAAGAAAAATGTTACCAGACCTTATTTACTCAACTAGACAAATGTTATGGAGACGCCCATCTACAACAAGTCTACAAGGTGCAACTAAGAAGTAGAGTTCAACGAGCAAGTAAACATTTGCAAGAGTTTAAAGCAGATGTTGGTCGTATAGTGCAGTTGGCTTATCCGGAGGTACCAGACAACATTTTGGAAGAAATTGTTGTACTTACCTTCGTCAATGGGTTAAAAGAAAGTGAATTACAGAAAGCTTTACGACTAGCAAGACCGAAAGTTCTAGTTTTATGTCAATGATTAATAAGTTATGATCCGAGGGGACATCGGCTCCAGGTAGTGTTTTAGTTATTTTGATTGAATTTTGGTACCTCTCGTTAATTGTTATATAATCGATCTGATTTCTTATGATCTTTTCTTTAGTATCTGCTGGTGACTTCCAAGTATATAAACGACGTTGGGTAGTTTGAAGAATGTATTGGTCACACAAAGCTTGTTCTCTACGCAGAATTCTACAAAACAGTCTCTGTCATTACGTTGTCCAAGGCCAAAATTCCCTACAATGTTTCCTTTCCAAATCCAGTGTCCAACTTCCAAGAAATTGTCTATTTGTGTTCCTTGATCACTTCAGACCAATTTGGTGATATCCAATGTGGTAGGCAAAATTATAAGTGATACAAAGAAGCACCCAACATGTGTGGCCTGTTAATATTCCTACATCTGATGTCAAAGTGGCAACATTTTTCATTTATTTTGCCTACAAGTAGTCTTACCAGAGTAAGACATATTCCTTTTCCCCTTAGACATTTTTTTTAATTTCCCTAGTTTTCTTGCATTTATATGAGACTCCCTTTTAAATAGTGTCCCACAAATAATGATTGTATATGTATTATATATTAACATACAGTCGGAAAAATGAAAGATTACCCATGAACAATCACAGCAATCACTTATTTTGTATTTGCTGTCTTTTTCTTTAAATAAAAAACATTTGTTATAGAAAAAGACAGCAAATACAAAATAAGTGATTCATCTGATCGTTCATGGGTAATCGTTCATTTTTCTGACTGTATGTATTGTTGTGTATTAACATAATATGTATTGTTGTATTTTGATTTAATGTATTGGTAATGAAAGCAAATATTTTGAGATTGAATATTTACATATGAATTTTAAGTGTGTAGACAGACAGACAATTTAATAACATTCGAGTTTGTTTAATATTGAAATATTGAAATAAGAGACACTGTGGAAAAGACTAGGGGTCAATAGTGAGGTTAGGTGATGGAACGCCGTGGGTCTACGGAGCCATCCCTAATGTATGTTTGTAACCACTGTATCTTTTAATAAATAGTTTTGTACAATAGTCGGTGCCTCATTAAATACATAACATATTTGGCGACGAGTCACAGAAAGAAAGAAAATTAATCCATCAGATGATATTGAGATGACAACAAAACAAATAACACAATAATTGCTTGTCTTACCTGAGTTATCTTCAAATTCATTCTTCAGATCCTCAAGATATGTGGATGTGGATAACTGACTCTCAATATATCCTTTAACAAAACCTTCCTTAATTTCAGCTTTTATTTCCATATCTAATAAATACAAATTAGATCACATTGTTTAGCACTGATTTAAAACTTATATTACCTAAATTGTCTCCTGGTTCATTCTTCAAATCTCCAAGATTTGTGGATGAGGATAACTGACTCTCTGTACATCTTGGATCGCCTTCAACAAACTCTTCCTTAATTTCAGTCTTTACTTCCATAGCTATAACACAAATTGGCAAAAATGAATTGCCTGCTATTTCTGACTCTTGACATGCTTGATCAAGTTTACTGCCACTGGTGCCAGCCACTGAAGATTTATTATCTACAATAATTAATGTTGATTGTTTTTGTAGACAAGGCTTTTTTGTCCTTTTTTTTGACCTTAAAGGATCAGGTCTATTTAGAGATGCATTTTGAACCAATTTATGCTCCAATTTTGGTAAAAATATTGTTGGTACATAATTAGGACTGAGTGTACTTTCTCCCTTTTTATCTCCAATAAAGTGGGCACTGCAGAGTAACTGAGAACGTTTAGGATTCCAACTGTCATCATATCCACTGTAAAATACAATTAATTAAATTTACTTTAATAATTGCAAATCATATTTTGGAGCAACATTAATGCCCGATTTCATAATTACAACCTAAAGTAGACTTTAACTAGGGTTGATTTTAGACTTAAGCAAATGACTTTATTTCACTTCACACCTTCAGAAAAAAAGTTGAACTTAATGCATTTTTGTAAACTTCAAAAAAATAAAATTTAAACATTAAACTTGATTTTTGGGTTAAAGTGAACTCTAAGTGAGTGTTATGAAACTAAAATTTACACTTAAAAGTGAACTTTTATTTATTATTTATTTCAAACTGACTTTAAAACCGGGCGCAAGAGTAATGAATAATTTAGGTTATTTTACTTACTTATACTTTTTTATGATATAAATCCACTTTTCTCTTTGTAGTAATTTGTGCTTCGAAGTTGGAAACGAATAAAACTTAAATTTACAATTTTTTGTTGTATTTTTACAATTTATAACACAGCATTTACTAAATCCCATTTTCTTTAGTGACAGAAGGTGTAAACAGAGAACTACGAACGTATGTTCTCTGGTGTAAATAAAGCATCGAGCAAGCAAAAAGATAAAAGAGGGAATGTAAAGGTAGTGGGGACAATAGACAGGAAGTGCTATCTTGAGAGGCCACTTTAAACAAGGAAAGACAGTCTCTTTCCCAATGACGTATAATATATAGACTACGCAGTCCCCTATTCTCGCTATAGAATCGAGTGTCCGAAACATCGAGTTAGAATCTCGATGGTCTGAAAGATCTCGGCTCAAGGTTGAAGGTATGTTTATCACAACAGCGGCGTGTTCATTTATATGTTTAATGACAATAATTATTTTTTTAATTAAAATTAAATATTTATGATTTCTTTTTGCTCCCGTCTATAAGAGAACTAATTATATTGATAAAATAGTATGGCATTTTACTAAAATAGTAAGTAAATAACTCTCAACAATTTAAAATAAAATTTGCTTGTCACACAAAATGGAGAAAATGTTTTCATACGTCCATGATGTTTTCAAACAGAAGATCAACTTCGTGATGCTTCGTAAGAAATCATGAACTTCGTGCATCTTCGTATCAAAACAATAAACAATAACAAAGGTATTCATGTTTTGGACACTTTTTAAAGCGTTCACCGAGTCTATATATTATACGTCATTGCTCTTTCCTTGTTTAAGAAGTCAAATTTAGTTTGGTTATGTTATTGTTTGTCCCAACTGTCACATGAAATTTTATTTATATTGAAGTTTTTTACCAATTGTGTCACTTTTTAGACTATTATCGTTAATATTTGATTAAAACTTTCTTGTCTGAAAAATATTTTACAGCTATTGTTAACAAGTGCTGGAAAATTTAAATTTAGCGCCTTAGCATTTCCGGATATGTCCGCCATCAGAGGCCACTTTTGTGGTCTCCTTTTCATAAGGATTAGATTCCCTCTTTTATCTTTTTGCTCGATGAAATAAAGTAAACCATCGAGCCATCGAGCAAAAAGAAAAGACAATAGAGGGAATGTAAAGGTAGTGGGGGCAAACATATTGTTAGACAGGAAGTGCGATCTTTAGAGGCCACATTAAACAAGGAAAGAGAGTATCTCTCCTTGTTTGACATCAAATTTAGTTGGGTTATGTTATGTTTGTCCCAAATGTCACATGAAATCTTATTTATATTGAAGTTTTTTAACAATTGTGTCGCATTTTAGACTCTTATCATTAATAATAAATTAAAACTTTCTCGTCTAAGACACATTCTGAAAAATATTATATAGCTACTGTTGATAAGTGTCGGAAAATTTAAATTTCGCGCATTCGCATTTCCGGATATGTCCGCCATCAGAGGCCACTTTTTTGGTCTCCTTTTCATAAGGATTAGATTCCCTCTTTTGTCTTATTGCTCGATGCATCGAGCCGATCGAGCAATGCTCGATGAAATAATAAACGTAAATAAACAAACGAATAACGCAAGGTCAAATGTTTTACGGACCTTGCGAATAACGAATATGAAATATGACAATTTGACAATATGAAATCTATGAAATGTGCAGTAAAAAATGCAAAATTTCTCCGCTACTCGCGCACGATCGTTTCTCGTATCACATCATAGAGCAAAAAGCATCGAGCGATAAGACAAAAGAGGGAATCTAATCCTTATGAAAAGGGGACCAAAAAAGTGGCCTCTAATGGCGGACATATCCGGAAATGCGAATGCGCCAAATTTAAATTTTCCGACACTTATCAAAAGTAGCTATATAATATTTCGCAGAATGTGTCTTAGACGAGAAAGTTTTAATTAATTATTAATGATAAGAGTCTAAAATGCGACACAATTGTTAAAAAACTTCAATATAAATAAGATTTCATGTGACATTTGGGACAAACAATAACATAACCCAACTAAATTTGATGTCAAACAAGGAGAGAGACTCTCTTTCCTTGTTTAATGTGGCCTCTAAAGATCGCACTTCCTGTCTAACACTATGTTTGCCCCCACTACCTTTACATTCGCTCTATTGTCTTTTTGCTCGATGGCAAAAAGACAAAAGAGGGAATCTAATCCTTATCAAAAGGAGACCAAAAAAGTGGCCTCTGATGGCGGACATATCCGGAAACGCGAATGCGCCAAATTTAAATTTTTCGATACTTATCAACAGTAGCTATATAATATTCTTCAGAATGTGTCTTAGACGAGAAAGTTTTAATTAATTATTAACTATAATAGTCTAAAATGCGACACAATTGTTAAAAAACTTAATATAAATAAGATTTCATGTGACATTTGGGACAACAATAACATAATCCAATGACGTATAATATATGTACAGTGTAGGTAAAATTTTAAGGTCGGTATGGTAAAATTTAACAGGATATCTAACGCAGATATAAAATCATATTTTCAACGAATTAGACAAAGATAACAATCATATTTCCCCTTCGTCTCCCCTCCTATAATTCCTATTTAACACTCATTGGCCATTGCCCATTAGTGAGACGATTAGTTCCGATCAGATATTCTCTGGTTCCGATCCTAATATACCTAAAAAACTAGAGGTGGGTCTTCTCGTTTTTTTAATTTTTATCGGAACCGTTTTTCGTAAACTGTAACTAGTTGATTGTTTACCAGTATTCAAATTAGCGAGTACACAAACATATTAGCTATTATCGTTTATGTGTATAAGTATTGAAATAAAAGAACCTAACGAAGGAAATATTTATTGTAACTTGAAAAATAAATTAAATAATACAAATGGTACTTAAATAGTTACATTTACATTACACATTATTAAATCGCGAATCGTCTAAATTGACATTTAAAAACATAAGTTTTTCCACTTTTCTTGTTAATCGCGTTCTTCTTTTATTTAAAATTATACCAGATGTTAAACATGTGTTCACAAGGAAAAGATTTTGTTACAATACTACAACATTTTATGAATATAGTGGTTAAGTTACGATATACATGGCGATGGTTTTTTCACCACGGTAATGGACAGTTCCAATCTCCGTTCGAAATTGTTTGTGGGTAATATATCATCAGACAATTACATGTCGACTTCTTTTATACCTCTCGATACAGGTGTATGTTTAGATGAGTCATGTCCAATTAATTCATCAAAAATACACCATGGACTTAAGTCATCTTTATCAGTTTCTTTTTCTTGGACTGATTGATTTTCAAGATTTACTAAACTTTTCGTTTCATCCGTTTTCCATAGTTAAAGAACCAGCTTTTAAAAAGTTTGCAGGGTGGATTCCTGGATATAAACCGCCAACAAGAAAAACTTTGTCAGGTTCATTACTTCAGGAATGTTATGTCAAAAGTGAGCAAATTATTAGATCGCAAGTTGTTAAAGAAGTAGAAAATATCTGTATTACTACTGACCTCTGGACATCTGGAGTAACTGAGAGTTACTTCGCATTAACAGGACAATATTTAACCGAAAATTTAGTATTCAAAACTTTTTTATTAGGCTGCTGCCATTTTTCTGGAAACCATAATCCAGAAAACAGCGATTACTGAAATTATTAATCAGTCGGGTCTAAAACGAAAAGTAAATTTTGCAGTAACTGATAATTCCTAAAATATGGTCAAAGCTATTAAATATGTTTTGTTTTATGATGATTGTGATTTATGATGATGATTAAATTTATTGGTGGAGGACGCACTTAAATGCTGTCGTGTACAAATAGATAAAATAAAAAGTCCTTTTTTCGACAATTCTGCAAAAAAACACATTTCAAAAAAGTACCTTATCTTCAGAAAGGCTTTTAAAGTATTAATTACAACAGAACACAGTTCCCAAACGGCCAAACTTCACCTATTACATGTTAAAAAGAATGACCGAGTTAGAAGAGGCAACCCGTTCCACATTGGTATTAAATAATACAGACTTAGACTTAAACCTAATCTAAATAAAGAACACTGGATTATTTGTTCTCAACTTTCCCAAATTTTACGGCCGTTTAAAGAAATAACATTTTAACAGAAATTTTGCTCCTACGCTCTTAATGATAAACTAGCACGACCCACCTCTACTTCTCGTTACTCGATCTTTTGACCAGATGACTATCTAGACTAGACGTTGCCAAATAAATTAGTGTATGAATATTTTTTAATTTGGCGTTATTGTATGCATGTTTAATTGTTTATTATTCCATATTGGGAAATTATTTTGATGTTTAGATTTTTAGTTCGGAAATCGTACTTAAAATACGAAACATTAATAAATTTTATTTATATAAAACGATTTCCGAAATGGAAATCAAAATGTTATATTACAATTATTGTAAAGAAAACTTGTGGCATATTCCCAATAAAAAAAACAGTAACCTGCCATTTAAATCAATTTCGCCCAAATTTGATTATCTTGAGCATTTTATCTTCTTGATAGAACATTGTTCAAATGCAAAAAAAGACAACAGGTCAAATAAAACCAATAAGTTTGGCAACGTTGAATTTCCCCTTTTTTAATATTTCCATTCGGCGATATAAAGGGCGTACCTAATATACCTCTCTCTTTTTAAACAGCTGTTTCTCACTCCATCTCACGTAAGGTCCATACCGACCATAAAATTTTTCCTACACTGTATAGACTCGGTGAACGCTTTAAAAAGTGTCCAAAACATGAATGCCTTTGTTATTGTTTATTGTTTTGATACGAAGATGCACGAAGTTCATGATTTCTTACGAAGCATCACGAAGTTGATCTTGTGTTTGAAAACATCATGGACGTATGAAAACATTTTCTCCATTTTGTGTGACAAGCAAATTTTATTTTAAATTGTTGAGAGTTATTTACTTACTATTTTAGTAAAATGCCATACTATTTTATCAATATAATTAGTTCTCTTATAGACGGGAACAAAAAGAAATCATAAATATTTAATTTTAATTAAAAAAATAATTATTGTCATTAAACATATAAATGAACACGCCGCTGTTCTGATAAACATACCTTCAACCTTGAGCCGAGATCTTTCGGACACTCGATTCTATAGCGAGAATAGGGGACTGAGTAGTCTATATATTATACGTCATTGACATAATCCTACTAAATTTGATGTCAAACAATGAGAGATACTCTCCTTCCTTGTTTAATGTGGCCTCTAAAGATCGCACTTCCT